GAAGCCCTAACTTTCCCATTATTTGTTTGAGAGAGATAAAGACTGAGAAGGTTAGATTTGATGGACATCTGTTCTTACAGAAGTGTAGACTCAAGTCACAGATTGGCATTCTTCAGAGGAGACTTGTGCTCAGTATAATGAAGCAGAACCTGTCTCTCAAGAACTAAGTAGTGACTTTATTATGTAGATATTTTAGAAAATTATCAGAAACATTTCCCCCAATCCAACAATGGACAATAATTCTACCACTTATGCCAGCACTCTGATTTACTGGTCTGTTCATTTACAGATATACAGTTGAGTTGTCCTTAAAATTTGTCACCACATCAATGTCTAAGTGATTCAACTGTTGAAATATGAAGAATTTCTCCAATGTCATTTTTACAACTTCTCCAATGTCAAATTTTATTAAAAATTTACTTTTCTTTTAAATTTAATTTGAAGCTAAGACTCAGGCAGATACTATCTGACTCTACACTCCATAGTGAGCTGTTGTGTATCTACTCCTGAGATTAAAAACATTAGGTCAAGACAAGCAGATAGCTCAGCAAAAGCTTTAAGTTACAGTCAGTTTTCATTGACCTCAATTAAAATATTTCCCTCTAATTCAGCAACCCCTGGAAAATAAGTACTTTCATCATTTAGGAGACTGTATGATCAGAACATCCTAGCAGGCACAGAGAGCAGAATGAGTTTGGAATTCCAAATGCATATATTTAAACATTTATCACAATTAGACTTCTATGGATACTTGGATAACATTTCTTTTTGGTCTTCCATGTCTTTCCTCAATTAAATTTTTTCTATGAGAAAACACATGCATCTAGGATACTTATTAAACCCAATCAAGGCTGTGCAGGGCTGTGGTGATACATCCCCTTAGTCACGAGGCAGAGGTAGGCAGATCTCTGTAAATTCAAGTCCAACCTGGTCTACAGAGCTAGATGTAGGGTATCCAAAGCTACATAGAGAAACCTGTCTCGAAAAACACCCAAACTAAAATCAATCAATCAATCAATCAAACAAAAATACCAAAACAAAAAAGAATAAAAACAAAAACCCACAAGAATAATTGTTGTGAATACAAGACACCTCAAGCAGTTACAAGAGTTGGAACAAAAAGTGGGGATGGCTAAGGCAGAAGAGGAAGAAGAGAAGGAACTGGAGAGGGAGAGAGAGAGAGAAAAAAAGAAGTAAAAGAAAAAGAGGAGGAAGAGAAAGAAGTAAATTTAATGAATGGGATTTCTGTAGGAAGCTGCATAGATTTGCAAAGCTGTATGTCTTCCAGGAAGGATCTAATGTGGCCCTATATCCCACTTTTGCTTGACTTACAGATCCCCGTATAAACAGAACTGAAAATGGTTATGTTTTCACGACACACGATGCATTATGGTTCATGTTATAAATTCTTAGTCTCCATAGAGGATCTAGAAACTTTTGGAGCTCTGTTCTAGCTGGCAGAAGATGGTCACTGGCCATGGGCCACCGAAGGTTTTATCCATCCTCTGTAGTGTGCTCTCTGCGTCCTGTTTGCAAGGATGGGAACAGCTGTTCTCTTACACACATGCTGCATCGCATTAAAAGCTTAAGTTGTAATATTGCCAATAGTTATAGTTTGTGGTAATTCTATATCATTTTCTATATATATACATAAGGGCAAGCAATTGTGGACTAAAATCCTGTAATCTGTGTGTAAAATAAAATATAATTTTTACTCTCTGGAGGTCTTTATCTCACTGTGGCATAAGAGTAAGTAGTGTGATTCATGTTGATATCTGTCCAACTGTCACCTAAGCCACTGAAGAGAGCTTTAGCAGTCAATTCCAAAAATGATATAGTAAAAAGTTAAACAAGTGACATGTCACAGAACAAAACACTGGGGTCCACAAATAAAGCTGATAACAGAAACAATCCCCAGGGAAATCTATGTGACAGGCACGCAAGATAAGGCTTAATAAATAATGAATTGTTATAAATATATTTGGATAAGTATGAAATGATGTCAAAATTATGGAAAACTATGAGAAAGATGTTGATAAATATAAAGCATCATTAAAGAGATATGAATTATAAAAGACAATGAAAAAATTTAAGTTGAAATGCATATTTATTGGACAGGGGCTCAATACCAGAGCTGAGCAGATGTAAGAACAGATTAGAGTTTAAAGATAGATCAATTGAAATTATATGTTCTAAAGAGGAAAAAAGTAACGGTACCTGAGATTATTCATTCTGAGGAACAAAAACATTAAAGAAAAAGAGAAAGTAAGAATAACTTAGAGATTCTTAAATCACTAGCAAGAGTGTGTATATTTTGGAGTCTCCAAAAGAGACATAGAGATAAGAAGGGCAGGGTTTTTGAATGAGAAACGATAAAACAACAATAAAAACCTGTTAGATTAAAGAAACAGTAATTTAGATAATGAGAAGTTCTAAGAGGAAGTTCATAACTATATAAACTTCGTCAAAAGACAAAACCCAAGAGACAATCCTGGAAGTAGCTAGAGAAAAACATCACACCATCTGCAAAGGGTCCCCAGTGAGTCCAGCATCTAAGAGCTCCACAGGAAGCGCAGAGAGCAGACAATAACGCATGGCAGATCACCAAATGCAGAGCAGTGTCGGGGGTTTGCTTATAGGAGACAGAGGGTAGTACATCACCAAACTAGGCTAGCAGCAACGTCAGTGGTGGTATTAGAAATCAGTGCTGTGTAAATTATAAGTGATTTATTTAATATCTCCTAAATATTCACCTTTTCTTACACCCTTAGCCTTTCGGGATGCTTTTCTGGCTTTCTTTTGTATCTTCAAACCAATGCTAAAAACAATGTCTAATTCATTGAACTTTGCTTTGCAATACTTATCATTTGTTTTTTAGGATAAGCAAAAAAATTTAAATCTAAATCACTGAAGATTTATTAAAAATGAAGAAACAGAATCGTAGTCAATGCACAGAGCTTCTGATTCCGGGTCTTGAAGAACTGTGATATATCTAGACATCTGGACTTAATTTACTTAGTGGCTTTGGATTATAATCTGAGAGATCCAAACATGCATCTGCACTGTAGACATGAATTTGTTTACACAATAGCTTAGTGTTTGTTAGTAAAAGATAGTAAAGAGGAAATATCTCTAACCAAGTGTCCTGCTTGCTTAGAATCAAAGTATATAAATATTTCCCTTCAGTTGTTCCAAAGCATCTTTCTAACAGGTGCACATTTAAAAACAAAAATAAACAAATAAAAACTATTTGAACTAAAATCCTGTTTTAAAGCAATGCAATTAGAAATGGGTACCACTGCAAAGATTTTTTTTTGTAAAATTCCTTTCATGATGGTTTTGTGATTAAATAATTAAAATGAAATAATTTATAACATTACCTAGGTATTATTTATAAAACACTGAATCAAGAAATCTGAGTTACTGTTGGGGAGACGAACTTGGTCCCTTGCACATCTATAAGTTCCCAGGATATAAAGCTGTAAACTCTGACACAGACTTACACAATTTATTTCCTTTCACTGAGAAAGTAGATGCAGGTGATGTAGCTGTGAGTCGCCAGCTGTTGTACAAACCACACACATGGAGTGAGAGTAGACAACATGCCAGAGCTTCAGGGACTCCAACTGGCACTCCTAGCACCTGGCTATTGGAAGCCACACTTGAAACTATTTGCCTGCCCATGCTTTGAGTCCAGCTTTGGTTCAGGCTAACATTCCATTTCCAGATGGCTCTTATTACCACCTAATTATATTCAACCCTGATTTTATTTCAAACAATTTGCCATTGTTAAGGGTCACCTCTTCGTAAAGCATTGCTGAGAACAAGTATTTTTGGTCTTAGGTCTGAATACAAGAATTAAGAAATTGCCTCCTTTAGAATGACAACTCAGGAAACTTCATGAATAAAACCATGTATCCAACATTACAATTGCAGTGTAGCTATGTACAATATTTATAATAATATTATTGCTACTTTTTTAAATCTAAATTTTCCTTCTTAAACAAGCTGGGAAACACCAATGTCCCCTGTCATTCAGTCAGTCAATAGTTCATACTGAGTCACACTTCTTATGCCTGTGGAGACTTGCTACATTTTTAAATAAGATGAGCAAAGTATTAATTTTCACCTTATTAGAGATAGAGAAAATTCTAATTTCTTGTCAGAAGTTAGAGAAAATTATATGCAAAAAAACCCAACATGTATTAAATGTTCAAAGTTGAAGAATATTCCCAGGATTTTTATTTCCTTTATGTTGCTTAGCTATGTCTTTTATCTGGTCATAAGCATGAGTTTCAGGGAAAGGACATAAGCCTGAATGTGGGGTCACTTTCAATACACTGATATAGATCCTTTCTTTAAAGATTTAGTTCATTAGCACAGCCACACGGATGCAGTTAGTAAATGGCATTCTATAAAAATGTTGGTTTGGCGAAATTCAGACACCTTTGATTTGGTAGCTAAAGTAACTCAAATCATACATGTAGTCTGTCTATATAATACCTGCAACAGTTTTTTAGTCCAAACTTTATAAAGGCTTTAAAATAATTTAGTGCAAGTGACTGAATGTAACAATAACATATTCATATCTATTTAAGTATATACAGACAGGCTAGAGGGGAAGAACTGGTTTACAGGCATGTGCCTGGTTTTTCTATGCATATCCCATGTTGTTTGTAATTATTTCAGATTTAGAAATTTTCCTCTTTTGTACTTAATGCTGATTATTCCAGAGTATTCTATTAATAATTTAACTTATAAGTGTAATTCCTCATACAATAATCACCCAATCTTATGATAGTTTGAAATTTCCAAATATTACCAATTCATTATTAATAATCTTCGGACTTCATATGAGATTTTAGTTGGTATCAAGAAAAAAGATCCATATTTCAAATGTTAGTTTATCAACCTCTCTATGACAGTTAGGATAACACTGAACCAATGCCATTGTGGAGTTGGTTAAAAGGCATTTGCCACAGAACATGGAACCTACTCACGTTTGTCTTGCTCTGCTTCAATTCCTTCGCTTTCTGTGTCGCTTGGTAAGAGCCATGGCTGATGCACAACCTGCAATTGCTTCAAAGACTCATCCTGCCAGAAAAAAAGATTATTTTAGATTAAGTCTAGCTTGATATCACAGACACCAATGAGGTTGAGCAGTTCAGTTTCCATAAAGTCCTATTTCAGAAGCCCTAAAGGCCTTCCTGACAGCAGGGGAATAATTGAAGCTTAAATTCCTTTTCATGTTATATTTACAAATCTCTTAACCCTAAAGTCGTTTTACATTCTTCTTTAGTAATATTTAGACAATAAGAATTAAATCTAGACTATAATCCTTCTGAGGCAATGTTTTATATAAATGCTTTTGAAAATAACATCACAAAATGCACAGGATAAAACTGGATAGAAGTAGCCTTTATCAAGGAAAGACTAACTTTTTTTTATAAGAACAGAGATCAGGATGACTGACACCTGCTTCCTGCCTTTACTCCCTCAGTATTTTCCCCTTCCTTCTATTTTTTTTCCTGCTGCCTTATTTCTTTGGTCTCAATCTCCTGAACTGAAGGGATTCCACTATGTAAGTTTTGTAAGTATGCCAGTACTACAGACACAAATGACCACACTCAACTTCAATTCTGTTTCAGTTAAAATATTTCATATATACATCTTTACTCGTGTATTTTCTTTCTGTTGATGAACATACATAGCCCACCACTCTTGTTTTGTCTGCAGTAAAGGACATCTATGAAGTACAAGGGCCATCATTCTTATGATTTCTAGGTCTCCTCTTAAGTCATTTTTGGGTGAGATTTTAAAGAAGTTGTATGATGAAATTGTTTCCATGCTTATAATTTTTGGTTGTTGTTGCAAGTGTCTCATTGTTCCATGGGTAAAATTGGGTTTACGTTGGTCTCTGATCCCTACTGTTTCCTTTCCACTTCTATTCTGTCATCTGATAACTCCTGAACATTGTCATGAATTGTAAGCTAACATGATATTTTACAATGAACATTTTCATCTCTTTCCTACAAGACAACATGCTTGCAGAGCTGGATTGTTATCTAAACTCAGAGCTTTCCCTTTCCCTACACGGCAAGTTACTTCTCAATTTCATTATACACTTTAGGGATCAATATGCAATTACTATAGAGTAAGTTTCCAGTCATATTTTCCTGTCTCAGCCGTAACATGGACTCCACAAAGGCACAGATAGGCTTTTGGAACTGGTCATCCCAAGAAGGTATGAAGAGTGTAGGCCACAAAATAGGGACTCACAAAATAGGCACTTATGTAGGAGAAAATAAGAAAAGAGAGGAAGAACATTAAGAACAAAAGAGATTGAGAGTATAAATTCATCCTTAAAAACACAGAAGCATTATTTTTTAAATACAAAAATATTTTCATAATTTTAGTAAAAAAGTACTCTACTAAAAAGTAAAAAATCAATAAGATCTGTCAGTTCACCTACTTGACCTCTATAATTCAGTTATTATTTTCTCCATTTTTGCTCTTTTTTCCCTCCATCTTAGGATACTTTGCCTTCTGTTGTTCTGACAAATGCTAACAATGTGAAACTTAATTCTCACAATTCTAAGAAACATGGACTAGCAGATAGTAAATGTCAGTTTTACTTAAAAGAGCTCCCATGTGTGAGAAATACACTATGCACAAATACTTGATTTGATGATAAATTCCTGAGGTGTTTAGTCCTTGTGTAGACTTTCCCAAATCACATACTTTTCCAGGAGTATGGGAGATAGAATCAGCCAGTAAAGCATAGGGACATTTCAAAGCAGCCAGCTAGTGCTATGTGGTATTATAACAAATACATGACATTGCACACTGGATGAAACTGAACTGGCTGTGTACCACAATGAATGTTTTCATGTGCTCTAGTGAAAAAGATCAGGGAACCTCAGGATGGACAATAGACTATCAAAAAAGTATGATGCATTAAAGGTAAATAAGGCACTCACATTTAAAGGGGTAGAAAATAAAATGCTGACCAAGTAATACTGGAGGTTTGTGGAATATGAAAACTCAGAGACTAAATGGGAATCATGGAGGGACTCTGTTTTAATTGTTAAGTTCATTATGGACTTACATCAGAATTGGGTTATTAATTGCAATATAAAATACTTATCTATGAATCCTTTTTGCTAAAAACAAATTACTCAATAAAAGAGTGTGTGAATGAGTGATCATAGGCAAATGCACATATAGGAAGAGTCTGGATAATTTATATGTACACTCTGCACTTAAACTAAAAAGTAACTCCCACTCTGAGTTGTGTAGAGTGACTTAGTTTAAAAGGTGGCAGTGAAATGGAGAGAAAAATGAATAAGTCCACAGCAGAGTAAACTGACAAACACCACTGCAAACCAAGCAATCAAGAGCAGTCAGGTGTCTTATATACCCTGGTCATACACACCCTCAATAGTCATGGATGGAAATAGGAGTTTTATCTTGATGTTGTTCTTTTCAAAAATACATTGTATTTATGTCTGCATATTTATGATTATAAATAATAAAATTAAAGATGGTGACACATGACATGAAATGCAGACTTCTTCATAAGATCTTGGAACAAAGTAGACTTTGCTTTTGTGCTAAATTTCCCTTTGTTAACCCAGGTATGGCAATCTGCACAATGCATAGATTTCACTACTAAGAAAGCAAAAATGAGGAATTGTGACAAATGACCCAAGATATATTTATAATAATGTGAGGTGTTAATACTAGTTGGAATCTGAGTGGGAGAAACATAAGAACTATGTTTTATCTTTGCAATAATTCTGTGACTTTGCAGTAAATTTAAAACATTTATTTTAATAATCGAAGCAAAAGAAACCCTATCTTGGAAATGATTTTCATAAAGAAAATAATAGCTTGATATTTTTTTTGTACCAGCAGCTCTTAAAAACATTTTGTGATTTGGACTGAAATATAAATTCCTATCAAATGAGAGATGGGTTCCATTGTGAAATGTCTTTGCCCCAGGGTGAGAAATCCTGGCTTGTCGAAGGCCCTCAGAGTTCCCTTCTGTGTTAGTTACCCTTCCTGTTGCTGTGAAAACACACTTCACAGAAGAGATTGAAGGAGAAATGGTTTACTTTGCTGTATGGTTTCAGTCCTTCATAGTGGTAAAGAAATGGCAAAGCCACTTGTTCTATGATAGTAGTAGCCCACGTAGTGGATGTTCATGTGGTAGACAGGAAAGCAAAGAGAACAGACTGTAGTCACAAATGAGGGCCACCTTCAAAAGCCACCTCAGTGCCCTGCTTCTACCACAAAAGTCCTACAGTCTGATGACCACAGCTTTAGAAAAGCAACCAGTTCCATCAAAGCCTTCAAACCACGATCCAATGGACATTCAGATTCAGACAGGTACCACTGTCTTAGAGCTGAGAGAGAAGGGAAAGGTATTAAGGTAGACAATGCCTGGTGCTTCACAAGCAGGTGACATCTAAGTCCCCACTCTTCAGAAAGCTGAATGGGAAAGATTGTAGCTGCGTTTTCTAAAGGAAATTTAGCACCAAAACAAGTTATATCTTGGAATATGTAATTTACATGTAAATGGACATTTATTCTTAGGATTTAATTAGATTTTTAAATTCTTGTCAACTAATGAGATTTGGCTTTGCAGAGGCATCCAAAGAAGCTGGGCAAATATGAAAATATTGGGTTTATTAGCTTGAAAATTTTTTCTCTCTTTCACTCTCTCTCTCTCACTCTCTCTTTCCCCCGCTCTCTTTCTCTTTCTGTGTGTGCATGAATGTGTATGTAGAAACACAATTTCAGGATGTTTCATGTATCAAAGAGGGAAAATTCAAATCCTGAAAATTCTCAAAGTAAATCATTCAGTCTTCTGTTTTTAAAGAAGGAAAAAAATAAAAGGTGGTTTTAGATTTCTAAGGAGAAATCAAAGGCTGGAGCTCCTTACTTAAAACAGAAAGTATAAAGTAACCAAGGAAAACAATGTTAATTAATTTAGAAAAGTGGTTTTGTTGTTTAGATTCTTGTCCCAAATATTAAAGTCCATTTTATAATAAAGGATATAACTAATAAGTCATATGTTTTGTTATTTTCTCCACAATGGTTCAAGATATTAAGCAATATAACCAAATGGCTTTCTAGGCTAATGCCTTGCTCCTGAATAAAGAAGGTTTAACTGGTCTTGGTTTACTGCAAGTGGTATACAGCAGAAGTGGAACTCAGTCGAGTTTGGGAAGAACTTACACTGTTGACACAGAGTCATGATGACAGAGCAAGTACCACTCTCAGAGGATTTCACTGTTGTACTTCAGCAATCCCTAAACTAGAGCTAGAAATAGAAGCCCCCAGCTTGCCTACCTATGATCAACAGAAGCAGTGCATGTCTGAAACTCACCCATCAGGCTGCATATAATTCTTTGAGATAGAGTCTAGAAATTAAAATCCTGAACATTTTTCCAAAACAAGAGCTGATATATTCCTTCTCACTAAGTTTACTCCAGAAAATCTGCAGTATATTAAGCTATATTTCAGTATAGCACAAAGGTTCATATTAGCAAGAGCAAGCTCTCAGGGCTGCTTCTAGAAAAAGTACCATTCATCTTTTATAAAATATTTTTTTTGCCCTAAGTATAGCAAATACCTAGGTATCTGTGTGGTGGGTACTAGTGACATGGATCTTATGGAGAACGGCTACTGGCCCTGAATCAATCCTTCTCTTTGCTTACAGAGTAAGAGATTTAAAGATAGCAGTATTATTATCTCATAAGTATAGCTTACTTTTGGATTCTCAAAATGATACAAATCACTGATTTATATCCATCTGACCATAGAAATTCAGTATATTTAGAGGAAAAACGTGTTCCTTTGTTGTAAATGTTTTAATTATAAATTAACCATTTCTCCCTGTTAGGTATGAACATGTAAATAACATCCTGACAATGTTTTTTTTTTCAGACACGCTTCCTCAGTTTCCTCAAGAATGAACTCTTGAGTGTGAACTCTCAAGTCATGGAATCCATCTAAATAGATGATCCATGGACTATGGTGCACATAATAGCAAGTGAGTTAGCTCAGTGGATAACAGCATTCATCAC